ACACACACACACACACACACACACACACACACACACACACACACACTATATATTGTGTTGATAAGCCTGAGTGGTCTGTTGACTGACCTTTGTATTTGTTCAAATAATTGTTATGGGCAGGTTACAATATAAAAATGTTTGTTATAATCATGTCTTGTGATTATTTAACTGGAGTTTTACGTTTAAACTGTTTTTAATTTAGTTAGGTTAGTTATGATAGTTTAGTTATGATGTAAAAACAATAAAAATTAAACCAAGATTTATAATAATTATCATTTTGATCCATACATTGGTAATGTCTGACTGGGCCTCGTGTCACTTTGTGTTCAATAAATTGGGCCCTGAGGTCAAAAAGGTTAAGAAGCCCTGGTTTAGAGGACATCACTTCACTTTGGAGATGCTGGTTCCATTCTGCAGCAGGGTCGTTTCTAAAGTAGTCTGAACTTTAATGACTCTACCTGAGGCGACTCAAAGCTCTGTGTGGGCTTCAGTCAGGAGGAAGATGAGAAACAACAACACAGATCAGCTGAAGCCTGTTAGTAAGCTGACCGTCCTGACGGTCTACAGGTCAGCAGGTCTGCAGGCCTCCATGCTGTGCTGCAGCATCAGATCATTACTGCATTACTGTTGGACTGTACAGGACAGACCTTTAATACCAACAGGATTTATAAATTAAAATATATATTTTATTGTTCTTATGTGATATATACATTTTTAATAAATATTAAATAATTTGTCCTAATCTATAATCTTTAAAGTTAAAAATAATAATATAATTTTATCATTCTGTGTGGAATAAATCTATATAATGCACGTTTCACTTTTTAAATTGAATCACTTTTTAATTAACTTTTTGATTATATTTGAATTCACTTAAACTTGGCTGCAAAAGTGTGTTGAATGTAAGATATGACCACTGAACAAGAGAAACACAGGAACAGCCGGCTCCACTTATAATATCAGCATAGAAATTTATCACAATTTAGTGAAAAACTGTGAATCAGTGATACTGAGGAATGGCAGCAGATCATCAGAAACAGAGGACAACTGCTAAACTCACCAAATAAATTCAAGGTTTGATCATTAACCAGCACTTCATGGATTCATGATGCAGTGACCAGTATTCAGTATGTCTGCAGATCACATGACAGTAAATATTTGTTGTGTTGATCACTGATTTCAGTCACCACAGGCAGAACCTGCAGCTGTTTCCTCATCACTTCTTGTGTTTTCAGGCAGTTTCTGTCCGACAGAGCTGTAGGACAGGTGTCTACTGCTGATCAAACTCAGGTTTGAAGGTCGATAACATTTTAAATAAAAATAAGCCATTTGAGTCTATGATTAAGTACAAGTTTAGTAATGTTCTTGGTGATGTAAACATCAATAAATGAAATTAAATAACTACCTTCCAACCAGTACGCCAACTGTTCTGCTGATAGACATAAGTGATGTCAGGTAACATGATTCACTTAAAAACTTTCATATAAAAATGGCTTCAAAAAACATCTTAGCATCACAATTAATGCATAATTTAATTTGGTTTGTAGTTTGAGATCCTCATATTAATATTGTAGTGTTATACAACAGCATTAAAAGCCTATTTATTTTAATTTAAACCATTTGTGTCATTAATTTTCATTATTACATTTAAAATTATAACTCTAATTCAAGCAGAATAGCCTATTGTCAACATAATTAAGGAGTGTGATTTATTTTCAACTCAAAATATCTTCAAACTAATGAAATATAGGGGGGTCACACTCTTAAGCCTCCCTGGTAAGATCTATTCGGGGGTCCTGGAGAGGAGGGTCCGTCGGATAGTCGAACCTCGGATTCAGGAAGAGCAGTGTGGTTTTCGTCCTGGTCGTGGAACACTGGACCAGCTCTACACCCTCAGCAGGGTCCTGGAGGGTGCCCCAACCGGTCTACATGTGTTTTGTGGACTTGGAGAAGGCGTTCGACCGTGTCCCAAGGGGGGCCTTGTGGGGGG